TGTGATAGAACCAGCAGAAAATGAAATCAATGTAAAAATAGAACTTGCTAAGTAACTAAAAGAGGGATTTTTAATTATAACTACTGAAGATGTTCGAAAATTACTGGTAAAATATAGACTGTCAAAGTGGATTTGGTGGAAATGATATTGGAGGTAAACCAAATCAATTCAGAGAATTATAAAGTAAATGAAAATTTCAAATTTTACACTAAAAAACATAGAAGACAATAAACTTAATCAAGCTGCTAAAGCTATTAGTCTTATTTTTTTCAATGGACATTCTTCAACTGAAAGAATTAGTAAATTCAAAAGAAAGCTTCAAAATGTTTAGCTTCACACTATGATCTATCACAGACATGGCCAACAAGTTTGTTGTGGATATGGCCTGTTAAAATGAGAAAACGTTTGTAATTTTTATGGAAATATGATGGCCTTCTTTATTCCTATTGTGACACAGTGAAAAAAGCACATACAAATAGTGAATAAAAAATATAAGATAATGAAGCATGCTCTAACTTGTTTTAGAAAGTGCTTTGATACACTCATTTTACATATAATTGAAATTGTTTAAGGTGCAACAAAGAGAAGTAAGAAGTAAGGAAATAAAATTCTCTTTGTTATTGTAAATGATACAGTATATGTTGCTGTTTAATTTATGCCTGAATGTCTTACATTCCAGGATACCTTTTTTTGTAATTACCATGTAATAAATATAATTAATTTTTACAAAAGAATAAAACATTGTGACAGGAGATCATTGGTACCTTTGATTTATGAAATTTGATCATATCCCATTACAATCTTGCATTTATAGTGATAACCCAATGATTCTAGTATTTTGTATGGTAGAATCATACAAAACACTGGAATCATTGGTTGATAGGTAAATAAATAAAATAAAATGTGCTGATTAGATTAATCACTAATATAAAAGCTAAAAGAAACTGTCATAAAGAAACAATAGTTAGTTAAGACAATTTTACTTGTCTTCTGCTTGCATATTTACATTATAATTTAATTAAAGATAATTATCTAAAGAAAAGAAGGATGATTGGGAAAGTGAAGTATCTGTTACAACTCTTTGTTGAAGGTGAATGGTGATATTTGTTATTCTGTGAAAAAAAGAAAATGGAGACCAGAACCTACAAGTCAGACTATACAGGATTTAAATTTCTTGCATGCATGCTTAGAATATTTTGTTATTATAAATATAAGTCAGTGCTCATTGTTTTGAATAATTCATCTCTTAACTAAGGAAGAAAGAGAAAAAAACAATATAACAAGTACTTGTAAAATCTGAGTTAAAAATAAGATGTAAGTGGGTATATAAATGAACTGATAAAAATATTCAGTTCATTTATATACCCATTTATCAACAACAAACAACATACAGTAGAGCATCGATTATCCGACCCCCGATTAACCGTCACATCGATTAACCGACCATTCTAGTCAGCAAATTTCAAATGTCCGCTGGTGATGTGGCACTACAATATTTGGCTATGTCTTGGCTACTTTAATATTATTTTTGTTAAATTTTTGCATGTTTTAGCTGGCAACACAGCTCAACCATTGAAGGGAGGCCAGTATTTAAACTAGACTTAATTTTCTAAAATTATGAATTGTTGTTTATTTTGTGAAAAATAAAATAATTTAAAAATAATTTTTAACAATACAATAACAACAATTATTATTAAAAAAAAAAATTTGTTAGGCTTAACATCGATGAAAATTCAACGCGGAGTTGGTTAATAGCAATATACTAATAAACTATACTAATAACGTATTTTTTTCGGTTATCTGATTTTTTCAGTTATCCGACCAACCTGAGTCCCCAATTGAGTCGGATAATCAATGCTCTACTGTATAAGTTATTCGTTATTGATAAGTCAATTAAATCTAATGAAAACTTGAATAACATTTTTAGTGTCTTATTTGGTAAAATTACTCAGATGCAAATTTTAGTTTTATTTCATACTACAAAAGATATTTCTGCATTTATAGAAATTTACCAAAATGCAATGCAATTAAAAACTCTTGGAATTTGTTTGAAAAAATGTGATTAAACAGAATTGTTTCATATTTTTAATTAAAAATAAACTAACAAATTTTTAAAAAAAGTTAACTAATAAAACAGACTAATAATAATAAATTATATATTCATTAAAGTTCATAACTCCTTAAGAATATATACTTATAAAAGACTTCAAAATTTAAAATATTTAGTTAAAGTTATTGAAATATTTTAAAATTTCAAATACTTTACAAAAATTATTGTAAACATTCTACAGTTTAAATAATGAAGATAAATCATTAGATATACAAGAAACAAAAAATAGATATTTTAATCAATTAAAATATGATCCCAATTATATTTTTCAAATTTGAGAAGAAAAAAAACATATTTATGAATTTCTCTAATTTGAAATTATAATTATAAAGTTGTACATTCATAGTTATTATATATAAAAATATACTTTACAATACTTTGATTATGTAGTTTGCTTCTTCCATAATATTAAAAAGAACTTTGATAACTTTTAGCTTTGATACTTTAAAATTCAATTTATACACAATTTTAAAAATATAATTAGTCCATATTTGCATAAAATTAAATTCCATAAACTATTAATTAATAATTTAGGAAATTTAACAAATGAAATAACTTTTTAAAAAAATATTAGAGAATAAGGAAAGCAGTTTCTATATTTTTAGAAGCTTCTTAGTCTGTCTCTAAAATTTTTAAAACAATCATTTGAAAGATAATCTCTGCATAAAAACAAATTATATTTAATTAAATGGTACACAATTTAACTCAGCAAAATAGCATCATCTAAGTTGGCAATGTGAGCCAAATATGAATTAAATGTAGGTTTTAAAATAGAATCTATTTTAACTATTAATAAATTCAGACTCTTAGCATAATACTGAGGAGTATTACAACAGCATGATCTAAAAAATATATTTAAAACATGCAGTTAACATTTGGTGCTATGCATCTGGCATACCACCAAATATTAGCTGTCAAATGTAGTTTTATGTAGTATATTGAATACTGCATAAAAATTCAATCATCAGTATAGACTTTAAACTTAGATGATTCAACAATTTTATATATACACACATTAAATATAAATAAAACTGTTACTCAAAAATATGAAATTTGGATTAAAATAAAGTATTTATAAAAACAAGAAAAATATTTTATAAGTTCAAATAATAAATTCTGCGTAAATACNTCTAAAATTATGAATTGTTGTTTATTTTGTGAAAAATAAAATAATTTAAAAATAATTTTTAACAATACAATAACAACAATTATTATTAAAAAAAAAAATTTGTTAGGCTTAACATCGATGAAAATTCAACGCGGAGTTGGTTAATAGCAATATACTAATAAACTATACTAATAACGTATTTTTTTCGGTTATCTGATTTTTTCAGTTATCCGACCAACCTGAGTCCCCAATTGAGTCGGATAATCAATGCTCTACTGTATAAGTTATTCGTTATTGATAAGTCAATTAAATCTAATGAAAACTTGAATAACATTTTTAGTGTCTTATTTGGTAAAATTACTCAGATGCAAATTTTAGTTTTATTTCATACTACAAAAGATATTTCTGCATTTATAGAAATTTACCAAAATGCAATGCAATTAAAAACTCTTGGAATTTGTTTGAAAAAATGTGATTAAACAGAATTGTTTCATATTTTTAATTAAAAATAAACTAACAAATTTTTAAAAAAAGTTAACTAATAAAACAGACTAATAATAATAAATTATATATTCATTAAAGTTCATAACTCCTTAAGAATATATACTTATAAAAGACTTCAAAATTTAAAATATTTAGTTAAAGTTATTGAAATATTTTAAAATTTCAAATACTTTACAAAAATTATTGTAAACATTCTACAGTTTAAATAATGAAGATAAATCATTAGATATACAAGAAACAAAAAATAGATATTTTAATCAATTAAAATATGATCCCAATTATATTTTTCAAATTTGAGAAGAAAAAAAACATATTTATGAATTTCTCTAATTTGAAATTATAATTATAAAGTTGTACATTCATAGTTATTATATATAAAAATATACTTTACAATACTTTGATTATGTAGTTTGCTTCTTCCATAATATTAAAAAGAACTTTGATAACTTTTAGCTTTGATACTTTAAAATTCAATTTATACACAATTTTAAAAATATAATTAGTCCATATTTGCATAAAATTAAATTCCATAAACTATTAATTAATAATTTAGGAAATTTAACAAATGAAATAACTTTTTAAAAAAATATTAGAGAATAAGGAAAGCAGTTTCTATATTTTTAGAAGCTTCTTAGTCTGTCTCTAAAATTTTTAAAACAATCATTTGAAAGATAATCTCTGCATAAAAACAAATTATATTTAATTAAATGGTACACAATTTAACTCAGCAAAATAGCATCATCTAAGTTGGCAATGTGAGCCAAATATGAATTAAATGTAGGTTTTAAAATAGAATCTATTTTAACTATTAATAAATTCAGACTCTTAGCATAATACTGAGGAGTATTACAACAGCATGATCTAAAAAATATATTTAAAACATGCAGTTAACATTTGGTGCTATGCATCTGGCATACCACCAAATATTAGCTGTCAAATGTAGTTTTATGTAGTATATTGAATACTGCATAAAAATTCAATCATCAGTATAGACTTTAAACTTAGATGATTCAACAATTTTATATATACACACATTAAATATAAATAAAACTGTTACTCAAAAATATGAAATTTGGATTAAAATAAAGTATTTATAAAAACAAGAAAAATATTTTATAAGTTCAAATATAAAAATGAGACAATATATACTTTTAGTATTTATACATTTAAAAAATAAAATTTAAAAATAATATATATACTGTATATATATATATATTTTATGTATATCACAAAATATCAAAACCATCCTTTATAGATTATTGCTCACACCATTTTTTAAAATTCTAAAATTTTACATTTTTTTTAAATGCATTTCTGTTTGTTACTTTCAAATATCCTTTCAAATAAGGCTAAAATAATGCTTCCAGGAAGATGCTGGTGATGCAGTATCAGTTCCCTTATTGCACATTTTGTCTGAATAAGAAAAAGTGATATATAAAATACAAAGTTTATTTAATTAATTAATAAATTCATTTATACCTTACCTTGCATACTAATTCTTCTGCAGTTATATTCTTGTCATATGGTATGGGATTTCCAATAATAGTTCTAAGAAAATTTTATAAATGAGTTAATAAACAACTTTACCAAAAAACTGGAACAAACTGTACTGTACATGTAGTGTAGAGAATCACACCTAAATGCAAAATTTCAAGCAGCAAAAGTTAAGCATTTGTTTGCTGGAAATTTTGCATTTAGGTGTGATTCTCTACTATAAATGAGTTACTTATTTTGGTTTCTTTCAGAATTTTATTCATATATTTACCTTAATTTAACTGGAAATCCCCCATAAATTGGAACTAGAGGAAATCTTGTTTTTTCATAAATTTTCCTAAATAAGCCTACCAAAAGAGTAAATTTTAGTATGCATTTTAGAAACTGCAATATTTTTATAAAATAATATATTACAATATTAATTTTAGATTGACAAAACAACTAATATATGATATCTAATTCAAAACATTAATCTATTTTTTAAAAAATATATATAATTTAATATATATAATTTTAACTACAATAAGCAAATAGTTATATATTTTAAATAAAATCAACTGTATTTTAAAATATTTATTGCTTAAAATTTCTGCAGAAAAAGTTACTAATGATGAAACAAATGGTAACTATAAGACAATGAATCACTATTGCATATATATCAAATAAACACATTATTGGAATTATCTTTTAAACTATTTATATATTCATTGCAATATATTTAACAAAATTTTAAATGATGATATTAAGCATAGCATTGTAGGGTAAGTTTTTTTAATGCAACTTTGAATTAAATACTAAGATAAATTCATTAGTTTTGAATAATGATTTTCTACTAAATCTTATTTTATATAGAAGCTAAAAATTCTGTACTTACATAAAGACAATTTGGTGATTCTAATATAATGCAAATATTTTCTTTATTTTGATCAAATATCATTTATTACATTAATATAGGTATGATAATTTATTACTGATTATACAATATCAAAAAAAATGATTAAATATTAATTTAGAAATTTTTAAATTAATAAAATATTACTCTGTTTACTTTAAATAATAGCTAAAAAATTTTCTCAATAAATAATTAAAAAATGTAGTACAAGTAATTATAAAATTTTTGCTAAATATGTTTTATATATAAAATATCATGTTTTATCATTTGTTAAATCCACATTAATATTTTTTAAAGGAAAATTAAAAGTAAATGAAAAAACTCACTCTTCCCTATTCCAAGAGGACGAAAAGCTTCTCTGATATTCTGAGTAAAAACAGGAATAATAGGCTATAAAAAAAATTAGATCAAATGAAGTAAGTGTAATATATTTTAAAATAACAATAATGCCATAATCATCAATAATACAAGATATTAAATTGTACATGACTCAAATATGCTGAAAGAAGTTTCTTAAACTGTATACAGTTGAAGTTCATTAATCAGGCACCTAAAGGATTGAAGTGATACCAGATTCCAGATATTTTTGTATTTTTGCAAAAATCTGACAATATATATGCAATCTAAACATTGCAGACATTGTACATTTTGTATTGGTGCATGCTGTTGTATGTTTTTCATTTGTTTACACATTCTTTAATCAATCTGAAGTTGATAGAGTTGACATTGTGTTTAAACTAATTGAAAAAACTTGCAAAAAATGTTAGTGATCACATTATTGCATAAAATCAACATTCATGATTCATAAGTACAATATTTATTACAATATTTATTTTCCAGATATGACTGTATACATAAGATCACAAAATATAACACATGAAAAACCAATAATGCAGTAAAAATATTAATATTTAACAGGTAAAGAAACATTTTTGACCATATTCAATGTCATAATCAACTTATCAAGTGGAACATAAAACAGAATGTAATAAACAAATTTAAAATAAAAAGAACTCAGTAGCATTATGCATGAATAGCTGGCCACATAGAAGAGTAGCATCTGAATATAAATAAAATATAAATAACAAATAAAAACAGATGATGTTCAGCAGTAAAAAATTTCAAATATAGCTTTCCAAGCATGCAATACAATTTATCTATTCTTAAAATTTAACAACAGTACTCTCTTTATAGCTTTATAGATCTCAGGCCTTCTAATGTGGTGCAACAGGTTAATGAAAAACCGTATTATGCAAGAATACACCACGTATTAACACAAATTTCAACAAAAGATAGAGGAAATCATTTATTTACAGTTTATCTCCAAATTAATTTTAATACATGATCTCGAACCCATACATGATACTAAATCGTTTCTCTTTTCCTCTCTCGTGAACAAAGCTTGTATATCTGGTTACACATGCGGGTCCCAAAGCTGACCAGTACACAATCTGTTGTGACCGTATTATATTACTACTTATGACTAACTTAACTTAAAATATAAACTAATATAATCTAGGTAGAGAAAAAAAGCATAGAAAGGTTAGGTTATAAAGAAGTACCCCTTATCTGTGCGACAATTTGGGCAATCTTCCGACATACACTCCCTGATCGCATGGATTCATTCTCTCGTCTTCCTCACGTGGTTCTCCCCTCGCTTGCTTCTCCCAGAATGAATAATGAAAGTAAAGTCCTCCTACGCTGCCTTCTTGGTTGTTGCCCCCTTTTCAGCCCAAAACTAGCCAGAAAGTGCAAATAGGTCGGAAGAGTCAAAAGAGGAACAATAGTGCGGGTTATTTAAATAGAAGAGGAAATTATAGATAACATAGGATATTATCGACTAAAACATACATATACATGGTGGGATACACCACACTAAGTACTTTAGATGTGCTTTATATGTGATATATAAGATGGACCCTATCACAAGATACAATGATATTGTTGTCACAGGCAAATATTGCAAGTGCAGTGGTGATAAACAAGCCTTTTTTACAATGTTAACATGCTCCTTAATTCTAATACCCAACAATCCAGAGGTCACTCCAATGTACTCTTAGTGTTGATCCACCTTGTTGACAAGACTATGTCTTGTTTATAAAATCATACTGCTGTTTTTTATTACCAGAATAGAGGTATGAAGGAGTACATGACAAGAGTTGATATTTGGCACAGAGTATTAGGTGCCCAAATCATTTGCACATAAAAAAAATCCAGACTTGTAGATAGTCAGGGGACCAAGAATAGAATCAAAATAAAATCCAAAATGGCAACCCTCTTCTACAAACAGGCAAAACAGCCACCTCACCCCACCGAAGTCAGGTGGGGAGAGTACCACCCACAGTTATTCTAAGAAGTGAACTCTGACTTTAGGACCAAACACAGTTTCTTCTATGTTAAATAAAATTTGTAATCTAATTTTGTAAATTTGGGAGTTCTTCAAATATGACATTCAAAAATTTCTTCAAATATTAAAATGGTTTTATATGTCGTTACAAGTGGGTTTTTTTTAACATTATCTAGTATAGTAAAATCGTGGGACTGATAAAAATTTGACATGTAGGGCAGAGGGCACCACCATGTGACCTTCACCCTTTGACCTCACTTTGCTCCTAAACTATAACAAGAAGAGACATCTTTTTACTTCATTTAGTTAACCTTTCGATTCGACAGCCGTGCGGATCTTGGATTTATATTATATCTCGACACTATTGTAAATATCGCATAGCCGATCCAAATTAAGTAAATTATTTGCCTGGATCATTTCTCAGTTAATTTTTACCGGCAGAACACATGGTCAAGGTCAACGTGGACATCACAGACAAGGTAGGATGTGCCACGGGCAGATTTTAGCCATGCCACTACAGACATTATATTAGGGTTGTTATTATATCCAATAATGTTATAATCGGGTTAAACTGTATATTGTTTGTGCAAAATAAAAAAAATAATTTCAAACGATACAATAGCCATGATTATTTTTTTCAAAAACAGAAAATTTTTGTTATGCATCGACAAAAATTCAACCCTGACCATCACACAACAAAAAGAAATTTCGACATTAGATAGGGTATACCTGGATAGGTTAATTTCACTGAAAATGCATTGTGGACGACCTTGTGGTTGTGGCTGGCTAAGTTTGAACAATTGCGCTCAAAAGCAGTGATACCAAAGAAGATTGGAGAATGAGAACGAGATCCGCTTGAGAGTCAAAGTGATTCCGCTTAGTAGTGAGTCTCCGAGACATAGTCTTGTCTCAAATACAGCTTTGCCGTTTTACTTGTTGTCACATGACCTGTCATATACAGTACATCAAACATTTGTTTTGGCATATCTAAAGTACTAAGAAGAACTTTAGATCTATAAAGCTACAAACAGGCATCTCTGTTAAACTTTAAGGATAGAAAAATTGTATTCCATGCTTAGAAAACAATATTTGAAATTTTTTGATATTGATAATCTCCTGTTTTTGTTATTTGGTGATTATATTTTAAAACTATTATAAACCTGATGCAGGCTTATGAAATACACCAAAAACGTTTATTATTATTAATTAATTATAAGTGCTGGAAGTGCAAGAATGCTGTTGGAAGTTAAAGGTTCATAGTTCCAGTTATTGATTCATTTATAGATTATATTTATTATTTATTTGTATTTGGATGCTATTCTTTTGTGCATGTAGCCAGCTATTCATGCACAATGTTACCAAATTCTTTTATTTTAAATTTTGTATATTATGTTCCATTCTACAACTTGATGATGATCATGAAATATGATTAAAACATTCGTTTATCTATTAAATTTCAATAATTTTTACTTCATTGGTTTTGTGTTTGTATTATTGGTTTTTTTGTGTTTTGTTGGAGATAGTATTTAATTTTAGTAAGCAAAAACCAAGGAAAACTTGAGGGGGTGCTGTATTCCATTGGTGCCAAAGATAACAAAGAAAGTGTGTGAGGATTGAGCTAAGTCTCCCTGTATTGTTTTAAAGAAAGAGGAAGTAAAGTTTGTTATAGTAATAGAACTAAAGGTATCTTTATTTATATGAATTAAGAGAAAACATTAACAGTTTTATATATTGTACTTGCATTCAGTTTCATCTATACATTGGTATGTATTAAGATCCACAAAAGTTACATGCTCCAAATATGATAAACCTATTTTTAGGTGCACTGTTCTCACATTGGCTCGTGAGAAAGTAAATGCATCAGTCACACATGTTACTAAATCACCATAAAACACATATGCTAGCACTAAAAACAAGTAAAATGGCAAAGACGTATTTGTGACAAGACTATGTCTTGGAGACTCACTGCTAAGTGGGATCACTTTGACATTCACAACATATGAAAAAACTTGGGTCTGGATGGGAAAAAACCCAGATTATTTACCCAGAAAAATTCATGATTAAAATGTAATTATAAATACTTTATCATAGTACATTCATGCTGTTATAATTACAGACACTATAATACAAATTTAAAAAACCATTTATTACCTAATTTACACAGTAGTTAATGTTATTTCACAGCTACTCTGTTCTTCTTTTTCTGTTAACAGTACTGCTACTGCACAATCTTTACGTTCTTCTTGTCACTTATACTTTTGGTGGCAAACTCTGTACTGCATCTCTAATTAGTTCAGGTTTGGTTTCATACAGCAAACAGCTAAGATTTTTCCTACTGATTGCTTGTTTAGCAAACAACATATTCTTTGATGATTCAATAGTTAAATTAAACCTAGTGTTTTTGAAATTGCTGTATTAATTTCAAAATACACATAAGCCATCCGGATTTTTAAGTATCTGGAGTTAAGATGTTGCTGTTTGTGTCGCAATAGCAAATCATTGCAAGTTATGATTTTATAGCTTGAGCAGTGTTTAAGTCTATCCAAGTGTTTTTAACTCCACATGATTCCGGATTCAGCAAATAAAGTACCAAGCTTTTCGTTTTTGTTTATAAAATCTAAATTTTTTTATTATTTAAGTCATTTTATTTCAATAAATATAAAATCACTTATATCATTATCCTGTTCCTTATGAGAATTTATCTTCAGAACCTTTGACGACATGATGACATTTTTCTTCCTGACAGTGACTACGAATCAGATCATCTGAGAATGCAATCAGTCCATGATAGTGAAGTAGATGCCAAAGAGTTACTGGCAAACACAATCAGCTGTTATCAGATTCTGTATAATTTACTATGTAAAAATAGAACCACCAAATGGTATAAAGAACCAATGTTTATACTAGAAACTGTATAACATTACCATGTATTGATTTTTTTTTCTGTTGATTTGTTGTAAAATATAATGTTTAAATGCTTAACTTTTAAAAGTATAACGTAGTTTGATGTTTAATGAACTTTTTCTTAATTCTTCTCTATTAT